AATATTTAAAACATGTTTTTATTGTTTGATACAGCATCGTTAAATACGATAGTAAACAAACAAACCGTCATATGCAAGTAAACGCAATTTGAACTCCGAATATTTCGTTCAAGACAAGTATTCACATTCAAAGATCATTTTACATTTTGCGGCTTGAATGGTATTGTAGGATAAATTCCACTCAATATTAATCCGGCGGTAAAACGATTTCAGTTTCAAAAGCTAAGGAAGTTCAGATTGTTAAGTTAACATCGAAGATCCGTTACAAATTGTAATTTTATAGTAACAATTAAAATTGAGAGGGACATTGTCCAGAAGACGTGGGAAGATATCGGATGTGAAGGTAATTGTTAAAATGTTATTCAAATGTAGAAAATAAAATTCAGTCCGTGTTAACTGATGCTGTTCTTTAACAGAGCTGACAATTGATTAAGAAGTTACTACGGAGTTCGTAATGAGTTGACCTATGTATAACAATTTGGAAGGCAAACAGGAAGTTACAGTCCTGTTTAATAAGTTTCTTTGATTCTGTTTCAAAACACGAAACATTTATTCATAACTGCAGGATAATCATGTGTAAACTACACTACAGCTTTCTTTTCTCGTTGTACGCAGAGGTTCTGCAAATTATAGCGAAAACGAAAATGCATAAAACGATAACGTATAACAATCGCCATTTTTATGTTAAACTGGCGCCAGAATGCTTTGATGTTAATTTTTTTATCTGCGTTACGTTCTCTAATAAGCCTCGTGTTCCATGCAACTGAATTGAACTAAATTTGGTGCTGCAATGCATGGAACTTAAATACCTGTACAAAAAAAGATCCCACTGAGACAAAAATTTACTAATGGCGTAGCATTCAGACCTGCATCTTCTAAACACGTGTAATAAGATTAGTGTTTAATGAAATACCTTAACAGCTGTCTTAAGTGGAACATTTGTACCGTTGATCGGCTTTGAGTCTACAATGAATGACCTTGAAAACAAATAAGGACGCAACTCGCAATGAACTTAACTGGAACATGTGAACGTCAAAGTGAAGTGCATTCTTCAATCTCGTTACAGATTTGATTAATGTCAGCTGCAAGTCTCCTTAACTAAAGCGCGTACAGTCAAGGTTAGTCCCGCTTTGCACTTCGTCGGACTGTGTTTTGTTAAGTCATGTTCCGAACCGTCGTGGTCGAAATGGTCACATCCGACCCAA